TGGGGCTCAGAGAGTCTGCTTGCCTGGCTCAGAGAGCCTGCTCGCCCAGCCCCCAGCCAGAGAAGACTCTGGGCCGTTCAGTCCCGATCTCCTCTCTGCCGCCACAGCGACTCAGTCTGTAATGTCCGCGGGGTCTTTGTTCTCGATTCCTGGCCTCCGGAATTGGGTGGGGCCTACCTGGCTCTGTGCGCGCTTTTCAGCTGGGAATCGTGGTGGTATGCGTCCAGCCCACACTCGGACCCAGGAGCCCTGCCGCTCCCGGAGAACTCGCTGCCTGGGCGCAAGGCGCGGGGGGCTGGGGGAGCCTGCTCAGCCGGCTCCGAGGGCCTACTCGCTACCTAAATTATTTTAAACGTTAAAATAAATGTCAATCATTAACATTTATATTTAAAAAGTCTTCTTGCTATGCTGAAATGTAAAGGGAGACCATAAAAACATCAAAGATTAGTCATTTCAAAATAATCATTTGTTTTTGTGGGTGAATATATGGGAATTATCTTATGAAAGTAATTATACTGTATTTTTAACATTTCTGTGCTGTAAGAAAACCTGCTGTCTTGAAAAAAGATGGTATTTTTATTATAACTTCCCATGTTATCACTTATAAAGGATTCTATATATTCAGATTTACCTACATACAGTGAACACATAGTAGAAAAGAGACTGATGGCTTTCCAGTGAAAGAAAAGCTATCCCATTGTTTTATAATTTTATATGCATCTTCATAAAACCACAGGCTTTCCTTAATTGTTCTTATACATCTTAAAATACATTTCAGTTTTTCAAAAATGTCTTTTTTGGAGAAGACTCCTCAAGATCACTGAAAATTCCTCTAAACAAGTACATACCTTGGAATCTCACATGCCATATCGAAATTACTTAAGTTTAGAGAACTTACACGTGTAATTGGAAATAGAGTTACCTTAATTTTTTTAGCAGAAGAAACCCAGCCTAGTGTCGTCTTACCAATCACTGCGGTCCAGCGCTTGGCCAGAGCTGAGGTAATGAAAGCGAGACAGAAAGCAGCAGCTTTCCTCAGGAGTGTGATCAGGAGGTCAAGTAAGTGTGTCCATGTGTGATAAAAAGCCGAGATTAACTCTACATCTATGAAATTAATCAAAACATTTCAAACTGTTAATACAATGAAGCGAGCTTTTCAAAACACAAAGCTTGCCACAGATTCTTTAGTATACTTACCATTAGAAATACAAGCTTGTCAAATGAAAACAAATGTAATTCAGCATTATCCAAAATTCATTTCTGTTAAATTCTCTTCCATTCCTTTTTAAAGACACCTCCCCTCCACCCTCCTGCACACAAAGACATGCAAACCTTCCTCTTCTAAAACACACTCAACAACAATCAGAAAGGAAGTTCGTGTTATTATTTCTTTTTTGTAAGAATCTTTCTTATACTGAGTAACTGCTATGTCTTAGACTGAGTAACTACTTTGAAGATAATGATACACAGTATAGTAACCACTGTTATTCTCTTATTGTGGTTATGAAAATTTGTCTTATTTTTTCATAAAATAGAAAGTGTAACTAATTGAATATACTGTAAGTCATAACTTCAGAGCTCTATATTGGGCACATAATAAAAACATATTGTTTGTGCTGCTTCTGTAAAAGTAAGTTCTCTCCTATTTTCCTTTTTCCCTCTAGCAAAGGTGAAAAGGAAAGCACAATGTGCCAAGGTCAAGGCAGAAGAGAAGGAATTTCTTTGAAGAACCAGGAAAAGTGTTACCTCACTCAGAACACTTCCATAACTCCAGCTGTGCTTACCGCTAACAACGTAGCAGTTAACCGGATAGAGTCAGGGCACATTTTTCTAGCTCTACACTCTGTAAATGTAAACTGCACAGATATGGGTATCTTAAACCATGTCTCTCCCCATGCTATCCTGTCATCCTTTGTCAAATTTCATTAAAAATTAACTGAGGACTTCCATCCTGGTGTTTTTCAGCACCAATGGGATATTTGGAAATATCTTCTTCTAGGGTATCTGATTACATGTTTCTTAACTGCCTTGTCCTTATTGGCTGTCTAAAAGAGGTGTTTTTAGACATATATTTCCTCACTGCTGTTCCTACAAAAATTTAACTCTACAGTATAATGTATGTCTCTTGATGTACTATAATGCTTACCTATACTTATACCTAAAAGAGTAAAGTGTAAACTTTACTTGGTTTGTCAAGGCATAAGAATAGCAAAGTATTTAAGTTGCAAGGTAAATTAAAAATTGTTCATACTTAACTTTATTACTCTACTTGTTGAATAACTTTTAATGTAATTTATTGCCTTATAAACATTATATAGAATCACATATAAATTAGCAATTCATACAGACATCAATTTTTATATAATCTTTCAAGACTTATTTTTCCAGAAAATACTTAAAAACGCAATTTCTAAAAGCATGTTTAGTGAACTTTACCTTTGTTAGCTATTAGAAAATATCTTTTAACCAGCAGCTAGATGTTCATTCAGATGTTGTCCATGTTTTCCCTCATTTGATATAATTAATGGTATGTGCAATAATTTTTAGGTAATTGGATAATAAAATTTGTCCTACATTTACTTAATTTTCAAAGACCAAGTCACACACAAATACAAAAGGGTCAATAAAAAGCATATACACAGGAGCCAATAGCAGTCAAGATGCTGAACCACTGCTTGCTGTGTGACTTTGGAATCAACAACTGATCATATTTATCATAAGAACAGTAATGGTTGGCTACTCTAACTGTAACCAAACATTAACCAAGCACTACTGTTGCAGCACTACTGTTGCATACATAACTTTTATCTTCTATGAACTCAATTTCAATGCTTTTCAGGGGATATCAAAGGAAATCCAATGTAAAAAACTAAACATTAAGTAGCAAGATTTTATCAGGTGAGCTTTGCAGACTCACAGGCCATTGTAACACCTAGGTTTTATTGCTATTTGTGTCTGTTTTTTGCCTTATTCCCTTCTCCTAGCAGTCAATGTTAATTCCTTGGGGGTGGGGTGGGGGTTGATAGCACCTTGCTGGGACTGCCTCTTGCAGAATCTCCAGGTATGGAACTGCTGGTCTTCCATCACTGGCGTAATTTTAACATGGCTCTCATTCTGAGGACTGGGTTTGTTGGGTATAGGACACATTTTACTTTCTAGACCCCGAATCAACCAAATCCAAACAATTCAAAGGACTAAGTAAGAGAAAATTCAGTCAAGAATTACCAGGTGGTCACCTATTTCATTATAAGCTATGATTTACACTTTAAAAACAATTATATTGGATAAAATAGATTTGATTTTGATAAAGATGCTACACTGTTGCATTTTCTTTACTGCTATGCATTACATTAAACTTTCCATGCTAAAATATTTTACAATGTATGATTTTAGCAATTTTTTGGTTTTTTTTGAGACAGGGTCTCACTATGTAGCCCATGCTAGCCTTGAACTCACAGCAACCCTCCTGTTTCAGCCTATAGAGTGCTGAGATTACAGGCATGCATCACTATGCCTAGTGAAAATTTTGGCATAATATGCTAGACTGGCTTACACTTATTAATACAAATGACTTATTAGTCTTGGAGAATTAGGCATAATTTCTAAAAAAACAACTAACACCCAGAATTCACTGTACTTTCTAACATGACAGAGTTTTGTCCTCATTTCAACTTACAGCACAAACATTATCCTTCATTGTACCACATGTTTGCCATAAGTGGTCTCCTAGAAGACTTAAAAACCCAGAACCACTTAAAAACTATCCTACCCATAAAACAGCTCATCACTGAAGCTTTCTGAAATACTGGCAAAAAATAATCTCCAAAGTAACCTTAAAGTGAATATCTGGAGTGAAGTAAAATTTTTTTTTTCGTCAATAATATTCATTTGAGAACTAAGCTAAACAAAATAAAACTTACCTAATACATCTTTGGTGCAAACTGTGAGAACTCCAACGATATTAGTGATAAGAGTTTTCAGAAGCTCTTCCTGCATCACAAGGTTAGGGTCTACCAACAAACAGGACTGCAGAAGCCTGGACAAAGATGACAGATATTCCAGGAGAAAGGAGGCCTATTGGCAAAAGGAGATAAAGTATAACAAAACATAAAAATGGCTCATCTCAATGACATAGCATTTTACTTTTCTATGCATTATAATAAATCACAACTTGGTAAGAAAAGAATAAAATACTAATAAAATATTAATCATAATTTCTGTAGCTCTAAAGTTAATACTTAGCCAGCAAAGCATTATTTTCCCTCATATTATAAGCATGTCTTTAATGACCAATTAGCACTATCAACTATAATACCACCAAACCAAGCTGTTCTTTCAAAGTCAAATTTTTTATTCTATTTGAAGAAAGAAGGTTTTCATATTTTAAGTAGCTAAACTGTGAAATCAACCTGGAAGAAGGGCAAGACATATTTCAAAGATATAAAGCACACAATTTTGAATGGAAAGAAAGATTACAAAAATAGTCACTGGACTACACAAGTGGGGATAAAACTAGTCTAATAGCCTAATCATTGCTACAAATAAAGTACAAATATGTCCTGTTCTTGCTCTTACCTATCCTTCAGCATAAAAAGTGTATTCTTAACTATGAGATAAAAAATCAAGCCTCCAATATTACATAAATATCACCTGATTTTCCAAATGTGAAAACTATAAATACTACCTAGAAAAGTACTTTAAAAAATAACTTCGTGGATATATAGAAATTACAGATTAGGCTGCTCTTGTTTAGATCTAAAATGCCCCCAAAGCCTGGTGCGGTCAGAGGTGGGGCTTTCTGAAGACGACTGGGTCACGGCGGGCACTGCCCTCATCAGTGGACTACTCTTCTCAGTGACAGTGCGTGTGTGAGGAGGTGGGGCCTGGACCAGAGAGCTGGGTCACAGGGAGGGACCCACAAGGCTGTATCTACCGCCCTCACTCCTCCTTCAGTCTCTGATTCCTGGTCGCCATGATGTGAGCAGCTTCTTTCCTGAGCTTTAGGTTTCAGAGTCGGCAGACTATGAAATCAATCCTCTAAACATCATATGCCCCAGGAACCTCTCCTTTAAGTTGTGAGTGTTGGGTACTTTGATCTGTCAACAAGAAAGTGATTAAGATAGCTGTGATGCCTCATTTACCCACTATCCTCAGGCAATGAGATAGTTCTTAGAAATGAACCTTATAGAGATATCCTGAAGTCAGTCTCTGTCTCTCTCCCTCAGACATTTTCTTCTCACTATATTCTAACATTGCAAGAGCGAATTTAAGAGTCAGGATCTGTTCTATATCTGTGGAAGGGTATGTGCCTCTATGGTACACAGTCTTAGACTATTTCAAAATAAAAATTCTACACTATTTGTCTTTTTGAGTATGTTCACCTTTTATCTAATTTTATAACTTAAAAATGTAAGTGGGTCTGTATGTTACAAACTCCTAAAAGTTTGTGAAATTTACTTTGCTTACTACTGTGAAGTCTTTTTTGATCCTTTCATATTTTATACTATTACAAGTTATAGCAAGTCTGACCTCTAGATATCAGAAGTAGTACTATAAATAAATACACCAGTAAGAAATGTGAGATAAAAACTGAATTGTGACTATATTATCAAAGATTAAACAGAATATTGATGCAATAGTTCATAGAGTAATGTTTTCTGTTTATGACACTCTTCAAAACAAATGCCAAAATACAAAACCTTAGCAAGCACCATCTTCAACACACCTGTACCTGTAGCAGACTTCAATCCCCCATCCACAGTTCTGCCCACAGGCTCTGCCTCACACACCCAAAGACTGTTTCTCCTCCTCCTCAGGCGCCGGCTCCAATGTTAGGTTGCCAATGTCTTGTCGGACTATCCTACCTAATAAGGCCACCTCTTTCCTTGTTGGCTGCCCTTGTACCCAGCCTCACGTCTGTCCTACATCGTTGGTCACCATGGGCTATAGTGCTTTACCTTCTACTCATGCTTACTATCCTTCTCCTGTACTAGGAACCACACTGCACTTGGGGAGAGATGTGTGCACTCTGCTCACAGATGTCTCACTAGCACCTCGGACAGTCTAGTGCACCTAAGGCTGAAGAGCGTGCTGGTGTGAGAGAAAGGACTTATATTCACACCAGCAGCCACATCTACATGAGCAGACAATATAAGGGTTACATGAGACATTCAGGAGACAGCAGCAAACAACAGCAGGCCAGGGTCTGCCCTCATTTCTCCTTCACACATTTGGCTCCAGCTGTTCTGACTTCCTTGCTGCTTCTTGGACAGGCCATGCATACTGTGAGACCATGGGCCTATTACATTCACGGGACTAGCCTCCTCGCTTACTTCAGGTCACAACCACTGTCTGAAAGGCTTTCCCTGGACACAAGTGGAGCACTCCTCTTCTCTCAACTCTGACAGCACTTCCTGTCCCCTGCAGGAGGTATTCTTCTGATGTCTGTCATCATCAGACACACATTAACTCAAAACTCTTCCTCCACCAGCAGGGGAAGGAGCTGTGTCTCATCCATTCAGGGTCCTGGTAGGCAGAAGGCAGTCAGTAAAGGTTTATTGAGCGGACGGACAATGGCAGAGACAGTTGCTATGGAGGCGGCAGGTTCAGATGGAAACACTGTCCGAGAACAAGTATTTCAGACATGAAATAGCCCCAGCTTTGTAGTAGGGGTCTTTTATATTCAGAAAGTTCAAAGAACACATCTCAAAGCATAGTATACTAGTCTAGTTCACCTTTAACTCACCACTTACTCTCTCCCAAATCTAGGAACCCATATTCAAATTTGATTTTCAGATAAAATCTCTACTAGCAACAACTACACAAAATTTGTTTTTTTGTTGTTGTTTTTTTTTTCCGGTACCGGGAATCGAACTCACGACCTTGTGCTTTACAGGCAGGCACTGTGCCACTGAGCTAAATCCCCAGCCCTACACAAAAATTTATCACACATATTTTACATATAGAATCTATCTATATGCAAAAACTTAAAAATAATAAATATCTGTGAAGAAAAAAAAATATAACCTTAATTTTATCAGAACAGCTCTTAAAAATACACATAATTTAGCCAATATGTATTTGAACAACTTCAACTTACGTAATTAAAGATAAAAAAAACCAGGAATAACAAAGATAGTCTAAAATCACAGAACAGGTATATAGAAAAATGTCCCTTTTCCAAGTGGTGCTAAAAGATAACCAGACAATTGACTAACCATGTACAGTTCATTAATGATGGAGCCAGAAATACTAGGTCGGAAAATCCACTGCTCTTTCTACCATTCAAAGGTATCTTTTATCAAAAATTTTAAGTAAACTATTTCAAAAACTTTATTATACCACACATATTCCACGAGACTTTTATCCTTCTCCTATAGTTAGATCTCCTAGGCAGAATTTATGCTTTGGGCACTTAAAGCAAACAAACCCACAATTTTGATGATGGGGAGAATCTGATACACTTACCTGAGCCTGAGCATGTTCCACTGGGGGTAATGGGGACAGCGGGGTCTTGAGTTCCCAAACATATGTCTCCAAAAGGGTGGGATCTACAATGCTAGAAAGAACAGAAAAAGAAAACCTGTTAGATGATTAGTATGCTTTTTACCGAGGATAAATAAGTCAGAATTTAAAGATTGAAGGTAAACCTGAATACAATTTAAGAGAAAGGATTTTTATAAGAAAATGTTTATCAAGATTTTCCAGAGTACTTCAAAAGGAGAAAAAATATCTTGTTAGATAAATGTGAGAAGCAAAGACTTAAGGAAATAATGTCTAAAGAAATTTTATTAAAAGCAAAATAAAAATATTATACAGCCTATTGAGAAGGAAAGCAAACAAAAGTAAAACACCGGTAGTTATGTTCCCATTCAAAGTATCAAAATCACAATCTAGGAAATATGTTCATATTCAGAAAGTAAAAACAACAAGCAAACAGAAAACTATTATAAAAATCAGAAGTAAAAAACAGGTAGAGAAACACAGTAAGCCTTTGCAAAAAAAGGTTCTTTAACACTGTGAAGGCAAACCTTTTAGAGCTGTCAGTGATACTAACAGCCTGCTGTAGCATGTGTGCCATAGGTTCCCACCACTGCTTTAGTACCCTCAGGCCTCAATGCCATGTCACAGTTAGCTGACTTCTAAAAAGGAAGGGCATTTCCAGAGCTCCACTTTGGTCACTCTTCTAGCTGGAAGAAAAGCCAGCTGACTAGCATTTATTCTTCCATCCTTACTGGCATGATGGTAGAAAGAAATGATAAATAAATAGTAAAAACAGCTTTATAGCTCATTACAGATTATAAATGTTAAAAGACTAATCACAATTGAGTCAAGTAAAACAAAAAAATACATTTACTTCAGTTTTTTTAATACTCAAAAAGAAAGAGAACACAGTATGCCTGGGCAAAGAGAAGGAAGACATTTTAAAGAGTGAATGCTCAAAGGTGAAGAGAGTAAGGCAGAGCAATGCAAATGAACACAAAGACAGGACCAGAAGGTAGGCAGCTTGACTAGAATATTGCTAGATACTAGGAAAAAGAGGAGTATTTACTCTCCATAAGGGAGAATCCTGGACATTAGCACTTTTAATCCTCTAACTCCTTAAAAAGCTGTCAGTAATGAGGCTCAAGAGATTAAATTTCCCAAGGCTGCAACACTACTAAGCGAATGAACTGCAATTTTAGATGGTTCTGAGTTCAAAGTCTAGGTCTTTTCTATGACACTGTATAAGAAAATCAGAAAAAAATTATATGAGGTTCAATATTAGGCAAATAATGTAAAAATTCAAAAAAATCAAATCACAATTTTTATCAGAATATATTCTATTGGAAACCTTAGTTTCCTGTAACGAAATAACTCCAAATTCATTTAAACAATGATTTTTTTTTTTTTTAAACCTAGGGACATGAGTCTATGACTACTAGGGAAATGAATCATCAAATTCCTTCATATCCAATTAAGAATAACCAAGGGAATGATATAATATTCCTTGAATGTGCTAGAGGACAGATGAGGTTTAGAACTCTCTGAACTGAAAAAAAAAAAAAGGCCTTAGTAGGCAAGACAACAATTGCAATTGTTATCAAGATAATCAATTTGTATTTATAACAAATCAATACAAATGTTTTAATACACCTGACCCAAAAACTATGAAGATAACTGTAGCAAAAGCAAAACACCTGTAGTTTAATAAGCCATACAAAGAATGAGAATGTACTCCCAGTATACAGGAAATATAGGAATTCTGAAATATAGGTTACGTAACATGCCTCACTTGGAGTGTTTCTCTCTCACCTACAGAGAAGTTCTATGAGCTGGGCTTGTTGGAGAGCACCTGCAGTTTCTTGTGGAGCAATCGCCAATAGGTTGTCTAGGAGGCCACAGATTGCTGAAAGAAGAGACGGAGTAACAAAAACATACTGCCTGGGCAGGGGAGCAGACAGGGATGAATCATGAGGTGGCTGTGATGATGCAGTTTCATGCTGACCTATTATTGAAAATAAGTATAAAATTAGTATTTAGTTTACTTCACAGTTATACACAATATTCACTAGTTCTTAGAATTAGAGGCAAGTTCCTAAAAATGATGAGGACAAATGACTGGTTAATTCTACTTGCTGCTCGGCTCATCTTAACCCTGAGGCTGAGAAGCTAGATTCTCCTTCTAGTCCTTTCCTCCATCCTCCACTGTATGTGTAGGTGCACATTTGTGTGCAGTATGCATGTAGATATATGTTCATGAGTGCAGTGATTGTGTGTGGTGTCTGTGTACCTACATGTTTGTGAATGTATGTGTATGAGAGTAGAAAAGCCAGTGCAGCAAAGACAGAACACGGTTTTGGGCCCTAAGCATTAACACACTGATGAACACATAGAGAGTCCACAATCCTTTTTCTGAAACTCCAGGGGTCAGAGGCATTTCAATCTTCAAAGTACTTGTGCATTTCAGAAAAGTAATAAAGTATGTGTACCATACCTTCACTCACTTGTTGAATGGACCTTAACTGTATCTGTAGCACAACAAATATACAGTCATAGCAGGCTGAATAAAGGAGTAAATAAAACCTCTAAACAGTATTGGTCATATGTAGAAAATGTGTTCAGACATGACAAGGTTAGCTACCGTAAGGCTTTTATGTAAATGTTCCACCACAGCCTCATGTGCTTATAGGTGGGCTTCTTCAGTGGTGGCTGGATCCAGGGTGTGTGATGCTGGGATGGGCACAATGCTAGGATTAAGGCTGCCCCACCTGGGTGTGAATGCTACCTGCCCCAAGGGTGGGTAGCCCGGACAGAATATAAGAGACAGAAAGGTTGGTGCTTGTTGCTTGCTCTTGGTAGTTTTGTTATTCATATACAAGTCAATATTTTCCCTAATACTTTATTATTACTGCTATTATAAATGGTGTTTTTGCCATCATTATACTTTCTAACTGCTTATGTGCATTTATTAATTTTTGCAGGTTAATATTATGTCATGCTCCCTTACTGAATTTATTTACTGCTGAAATAAGTCTTATCACTAATTCTTTAAAGATTTCCAAGCATGTTATATAGAAGGTAAAATAAGTATTTTTAAAAATTAAACAACGTTATATATTGTTAACATGAATTACTAAAAACCAAAATGGAACACTTTAGGAAAGTATCAAAACAAGTATTATAATGAAAATTCAAAACAGTAATCAAGCAAGTATTTTATTTCTCACCCTTACCCCACCCTTAGAGATTAAACCTAGGCATTATGCATGTTAGGCAAGTGTTCTACCCCTGGGCTATCCTTTACACCACATATTCTTCTTTTTTTTTTTTACTTTTTTAGACAAGGTCTCAATGCAGTTTAGGCTGACCTTGAACTCACTGTGTCGTCGAGGCTGGCTCTAGCTCACAGTGATCCTGCTGCCTCATCCTCCCAAGTGGTGGTATTACAGGTACAGACCACCATGCCTGGCTATACCACATATTTCCAGAATTTTTTTTTTTTTTGCATAGGTACTTCAATATAAGTCATATCAGAAATTTAATGCTAATAAAAAAGGCCTACATACTCTCTAGAATTAACAGCTGTAATCTTTGAAATAAAGTTTAAAGTAAAGCAGAATTGAAAGCAGTTCTGGGCTGGGGATATAGCTCAGTGGCACAGTGCCTGCCTGGCAAGCACAAGGTTCGGAGTTCAATTCCAGGTACCAAATAAAAAGAGGAAAGCATTTCTTAATAAAAGGATTAAAACTTTTATACTACCACTAATAAAAATAAAGCCTAATCATGTATTTCTTTCTTTTTTGTTAAGTTTTTCTTGTTGTTTGGTAGCAGGAATCAAACTCATGACCTCACGCTTGCAAGGCATGCACTGTGCCTCTGACTATATCCCCAGCCCAATCATGTATTTCTAATAAAGTCTCAATAAGCTTGTATCTTGCAAATGGGAAGCACAGCCTTAGCAAATGTTCCTCACCAAATCTCTTTACTTTCAGGTGGACTACTGTGGTAAAACTGTTTTCTCAAACGAGGGTTAAAAGTGGAATTAACTAATATCTTCAGTTCCCTGATTCAAACACTAAGTATGTGTGCTTAACTAATAAGGAACCATGTTACAATCAGACCATTTTTTCGTAACCAAATTCCCATTTATTAGTTAAGAATATTTGTTTGTTCATGTCCAATATAATCATTCTAAAATTATTCTATGTCCTTATTTCATTAACATTTTATTTTTTAGTTATTTACTTTCAAAGCATCTGTCTAGATCAACCTTTTTTTATGAAAGCAGACTGTCTTCCTAAAAGGATATACCTTGGGCCACAAACTGGTCATGTGAGGCTTCAGAGAGAAGCACTGCTGAGGGAACAAGTGGATGAAATTCAGCACTCCCCACTGACGGTGCTACCTATAAATCAAGAAAGAAACACTATTTAATCAGTACTGTTGTGGCATGGAATAAAAATAAAGCCTAATCAAGGAACATACACGCAAGATAACCACAAGCAAGAAACTTATAACAACATTGTACTTGCTACTATAACTAAAACACTGCATATGTTCAGAGTTTTGGCAGATTTCTTTATTAATGGGATTTTCTACTGTCTCTTATGAGAACTACTACAGCTTACTTGAACAGTAACTTACAGGAGGGCAGTTTTGATTTAAAGCCCATTTAGAATTTTAAAGTTTCCTATGAAAGCCTACTCATTACCCAAATGGTGAAAGCCAAAGATATACTATCTAAAATTCACCATATTCTTGATATATTTTACATTTATTGCTCACTCATAAGTTTTGATAATATCTATAAAAATTAAAAGTATGAAATTATTTTTCTATCACAAAAGAAATTTTTTAAAGCTTGGCAATATATTGACACTACGTTTTAGAATACAGCATTTGTTAAAACATTAAACATAATAGAAATGCTATGGAAAGCAAACACAATTCTACCCACAGGTTTATAGATAAGCAAACTATGTGGTTTCCTAAAATTGAAAGCACCTATTGATGTGTTTAGCACCTCCTAAGTGAAAAACACACTATCTGGCAAGGTCAGATAACTCTTTTTCCTACCATCAATTCCCTGTGAGACAGTGTGACCTGCCCAAACGTGGGGAGCCTCCGTGTCAGTGCAAACACACAGAACAAGCTCCCAATAGAAATCAACACTATTACAAATCAACACTATTGCAGGCTCATGTACTACATTTGTGTGTACACCACAGATATATCCTAACACTTATTACTGAATATGATGACATAAAAACAAAAACTAAGGTTATTTTCATTTGTAGTTCCTAATAATAAAGAGAATAAAAACTTGAAGAAATTGGTATGAATGAAATTAGTATACAGTTTTAAAATCTCCCTTCCAAGTTAAGACCTTAATCATCTTTTACCACGTCAAGAATCCCACTTATAATATCAACAAATGAGAGAGGTATAGCCAAAAAATCTAAGCTAAGCACAAAAAGTCATCTACAGAATAAACTCCGATAAAAGTTCGGTCTAAATAAATAACTTATAAGCAATCATTACATCTCTTAGTTTATATAAGATTTGATTCAAGTAATAGGAAAGGTAACCTAAAATTTGTTTTGTTTTCTTTTTTAAATACACTTAATACACTTTTTACATTAAGTGTATTTTTTAAATACACTTAATACACTTTTTTAAATACACTTTTCTTTTTTAAATACACTTGTGTTCTTTTTTAAATACACTTTCCCAGGGGGCCAATAAGGAGCATATAAAAAATGTTCCTGTCCCTAGACATCAAGATAACTTTTATTGTTCTGGGAAGAAAGTAATCAAATGCCAAGACTGATATCATAAACTAGGCAGGAGTTATCTAAAGTATCTAGACCTTGCTGCAAACTCTTCTGGCTATGTAAGAAAAGTTAAGGGGACAAGGATGCTTGAAGCTTTCATTTCAGTGAACATCTTTTCAAGTGACATAGACTGAAGAAGACCTTATTCTGATAAACAGAGGTGGGGGACTGGTTTGATATTTTAGCACTCAGTTGGGGAAAAGAAAGCTTTTAAGGGCCCACTAAATACCTGGCTCATTAAAAGAAAACACCACAGGAAAGACATTAATAAAACTTGTAATTTTTCTTAATATAGTCCAGGGAAGGGAAGCCCAAATTTAGAAAAGATGTTTTTGTAATGTACCTAATAGTTATAACTTAATTCAAGTGGATGAGAAAACACAAGGATTTCTTTATTATTCTTTAATAATGATTATGGGTGATTTATATTTCTAGTAGCTTCTGTGTATTTTTACATTTAGATTTATTAGTATATTACTATTTTAATAAATAGAAACAAAAAAGTATTAAACTGAATTACTCCAGATCTATGCTCAAATCTTTATTTGGAAATAATTTCCAATTGATATTTATTTGATTATATTTGATAATAAACACTGACATACAAATCTATTACTTTCACTAGAAATACAACGATTAATTATAGTTTTAGCATTTAAATATTAGCTACTGGAAAGTACAAGTTTTCTCCCAAGCTATAGGTAGAAAAAATCTGATGTGGTTCAGATCTACATTTCGCGATTAAGTATCACAAGCTAAGCAATTTGCCCAGCTGACAGTCTCATCAAGACTCTCGGTCCAGTACTATTCTCACGAAAGCACAAGTTCATTTGAGTCAGAGGAAGTCCTCAGACATACCACCTTGAGAGAGCTGGCTAGCATGGCATACCCTGAGCTCTTTGATTGACTTTTTCTCAGCAAGATAAACAAGTCTGAGTTTTCTTTGAAACATACATATGTCACTTTACCAGTTGCTGCGAAAAATATCTGAAACCTGCAACTTGAAGGAAAGCTTTATCAGTTCAACAGTTTCAGAGCTTTCAGTCCATAATCAGCTTCCTCCAAGGAAGGAATCTATGGCAGAAGGGTGTGGAAGAAAAAAGCTGCTTAGTGCAAGGCAGCCAGGAAGCACAGCAGGGGAAAAGCTCGAGAGAGTAAGGACCACATATAGACCCCAAGGTCTCGCCTTCACGACCCAATCAGACACACGTAGCAGTGTGCTTTACTCATTCCCTGGAACGTGCTCAAAGCAATCAAGTTAACAATGAAGCTCAACTGGCAGAATATACTTCTCATCCATCTTATCATTTTCTTGATGTTATAGAAGACAATAAAAGCTACTTACAGCAAATAGGTTGATGTTAAAGTCCTCAAACTGATTCAAATTAGTGTAATGGTGGTAACCAGGGGCCGGGTGTGGGGAATGAGAGGATGTTGATCAAATGGTACAAGCTTTCAGATACAAGTGAAAAAATTCTGGAGATCTACTGCACAAAATGATGACTATTGCTAATAACACTGCACTGTTCACTTGAAATTTTGTTTGTTTGTTTTCGGTTTATTTTTTTTCCGATACTGGGAATCAAACTCACGACCTTGTGCTTGCCAGGCAGGCACTGTGCCGCTGAGCTAAATCCCCAGGCCCTTGTTCACCTGAAATTTGCTTAAGTGTTCTCATCACAAAAATATGTGAGATACTGTGCTACTCTGAGAGTGATTATATCATATACGTGTCACATCATATTACAGATCTTGCATATATAGAATTTGGCAAATACGCCTCAATACAATGGGAGAAACCAAGCAAAAATAGAATTAAATTATGATTATGAAAACTGAAAAATAATTCTTTTTCTTCAAAGAGTTTGTAGATTTGGTAACTAAAGATTTCCCAATTATGTTTCAGTATAACATAAGCAGCCACTATTAAGAGAGTCCCTTTGATATTGTAAAAACAAGCAGACATTTACCATATCAAAGTAGAATTTGAATATAAAAAATTTGTTATATAAGTAAAATAAATTAATACTCAAAAAAATTTTGTACTCTGCCTTACAGAAACAAAAGACTTTACTGGAAAGCTCAAAATTAATTAGAACTTAGATACTTTATTTGTCAAAATAATCTTCCAATTTTTTTTCATAAAAAACAGTATAGTGCTTAAGTAGGTTATTTAATTTTTAAAAATAAGGGAAAAATTAGGATTAGTTACATTAAAAAAATAGGGCACAACTCTATCCAGATTTTAAAAACTTGGCAAAAAATATGATACAAAAGTTTCTATGAAATCCTAGAATCCAAGTGTTCATTTTTGTAGTTAATATTTTTCTCTTTATTCCCAAGAGCAGAAAAGCTTTGGTATCTGTAATGATTAAATCACTTCAACTACTACAGAACTATCTTTCAATGGATTGTGCACAATATTAAATGGAAAAGATCAGAAAAATACCACTGAAGGAATGAGCAGCAGGAGAGAAGAGATTCTAGCATGTCTAACTGGAAGAAGACATACAGAGAAAAGAACCACAATATAGTCATGGTCCTTATGTTGTACTATAATTAACTTAAGAGTGCAAATTAGGCAGCTTCTTGTGGCCTTGAGCCAAATATTTATATTTTCTATGATAATGTTTCTTCATGTGTAAAAAAGCATACTACCATTAAATAGTGTGGATTTAACAATTTAACCCATTTATAGCAATTAATACGGAAACCTAGGGAATACATTGAGTTCTAAAAATGAGGAAGTTCAATAAAGGTTGTAGGCATGCATGAAAATGCCAAGATGAAACCCAGTAACTTGTAAAATTAATATTCACCAATAAAAATATATACAAGTATACTGAAAAAAGATGAGAAAGTTGGTTCTTCCTATACGTAAGAACTTATTAAATAAAGCGATCAAGTTATTATCAGTATGTATTTGTGATGGTAAAGTTTGTCAATTTCATTAGCTTGGAATCATCCTCTGGGTATAGCTGGGTCATGGAAGCACCATCGTTCTATTTCTCTCTCTCCACTGTAAGGTCCATATCTGGTCCCTGACCCTTTCCTCTCCAGCACTGTGCTCTATGTCCTGGCTACTATGAACTGAGCAGCATTGCTCTGCTGTGCCCTTTTACCACAACGCACCTGCCCTGGAGCCACCTGACCATGAACTGGAACCTCTGAACATGTGAGCCAACTAAATCATTTCTTCTTTTAAATTGTGGGTATTAGGTACATGGTCCCAACAACAGGAAAGCCGAATAACACAGTATTTCAGTACCAACACAAAATAACAGTCCAAACCTATTTTAGTCACAGCTATCAGGTAGATAAAACTGCTGCAATCTTTTTCAAAATACTTTTGTCCATTTCCTTAAATGTTTGCATTTAAGAACAATGACTATAACTCTATAGAAACTTATCTCAGAAATCTTAAAAATATAAACAAGTGAGTCCAAGTCACAAAAACAAAAATGTTATTTGCTCTTTCTAATAACATTTTTAAAGGGTAACTTTTTACAAAATAATACGTTAGGCACCTAGTACAGAATAATTCATTTTATCTGCTCTTGTATTCATTTTAAAATTATATACCAAAAATTATACTAGAAAAAGTTAATACCCAGGTATCACTACATATTAATATTTGTTTTATTATTATACATAAAAAACCTCAGAAACCAAAATCAAACATACCTTGTTCTTTTTCACTGCGCTGCTGACCAGTGGTCATAGTAACAATACTTAGAAACTAGAATATCATTAGTATTTTCCTTCTAACTAAAATTTACAAAGTTTTTAGTCCTTTGGTAATCCACAGGGAGTCAAAACTTACTTAGATAAAGTATATCATTCTATCTTTCTCTCTCCACTGTCATGCACAATGCTATCTCAAAATTTCCTGGGGATTACAAAGAGGTAGGAATATGCCTTACCATTCATGCTTATATCACAACTATTTTTCTACTAAAATCCCATTTGGATCCACCTCTGCTTAAACTGTCTTGGTATACTATTAATTTTATAAAATAGCTTTCAATTCCCTCCAAAAGCTCAACATATTATTTCTCTAATGTGAACTGCAATATTTCAGAACATTTCACTATGCTGAACTGTCTTTGTATCCTTATCATTAAAACTCACACCCAAAAAGTGAATTAGCTTTCTTGACTAACCCTGATCTGGTTAGTTTAGTAATCAAACTCAGCCTTCCCCAAGTACTGTACTCCAAGTACTCCAGGCATTTTCTAAATATTCAGTGCTTTCAGTGTGACAAATTTAGTATTCTGTTATTTTCTAATTATGCTTTATGTTCTGAACTAGACTTTAACTTTGTAATGGATACTGAACATATATATATTTAAATTGCTCAGCCCTTATATTTATGTACCATAAATATAAAAAGGAAGCAGTTAGTCTTTTAATGTCCATGTCTATTGCTATTTCCTATACAAAATCACTCATCATCAAGGCGCAACCTCACTGTGTCTTGATTAACATCTATTGTGGCATCTATTATATCTGGCTTTGGAGTAGAGTGTAACATTGTAACTAACAAGGTAAATCAAACATGCTTCCACTTGAAATAAATGTCCTACCAGTCCCAGATAGTAGGATGCTGCTTCATGTCCTTGTATCTTTTGTAAAATAGTGATCATAAAAATGATTTAGCTTCTTTTTAAGACCATGAAGATTCATGAGCAAAATTTATCTTTAAGTGTTTAAATAAACTAAGTTTTCTTTAGGTTTGTGTCCCACGTATTTCACAAAGAAAAGGTCAAAAAGAAAAAAAATCATGTTTCTTATTTCATTTTGACAAATGATAAAACACTTTAAAAATACAAATATACTTCTGCTTAAGAGCAACAGAAAGGGCCAAATAGTGGGCATAAAGCTGTTGCCGCACATTGGCAGGTACAGTTATCCATCTTGGAGAAGCAGAACTGTGATTTCAGGAGGAAAAACAATACCAAATGCCTGCTGAGTTGGATTGGGGGCACTTCTGAGGGAGTATTTACAAGGCCTATGAATGTCCTAAGAGTAACATTGACATTCTACTCACATTAGTGTAGTTTATAAGACATAAGGGTCCCAATTCTTGCAAAGTGTATGAAACAACTGAATGAATATTCATTACACAAAACTATTAAAGTCCCTAACGTGGTGTTATAGCTTGTGTCTGAATGCCCCCCGAAAGCCTCATGCAGTCATGGGACAAGCTTCTAGAGTTTATGATTGATTCATGGTCCCATGCTGGAATTATGGATGTGAGTATTACACTCACCTTGGGGCGGATAGTTTGCATACAATGAAGGCTGCTTGCTGCTGCTCCTCCCTTTTTGCTTTTGCTGCCTTTGCTACTATGAACTGCTGCCCTCTGCCATGTGCCATTCTGCCTTGGAGCCAGCTGAGTACGGACTGAAACCTCCACCAACTGTGAGCTACATAAACTTTTCCTTCCTTAATTTTGGAAGTCAGGTATTTTGTCTCAGCAACGAGAGAAAAGTAACCAAGACACATGGGATTAACAGCACAAAATGGACAGTGGCCTATCAACAGCACAGTGCTTGATATGACCCACATCCAAACATAATGCTTTCCTCAAAAAGACAAAATGGAAAGACACAGCCTCCGTAAAAATCTCCATTCTGTAGGATAATGATATAAATAACCAGATAAGCCCATTAGCAAGATTTATATCCATTTAATTTATACATTAATTATAATTTTAACATTCTCTTGTACTAGATAAAGTAGTCAGTGATCTAAATAGAATGGCTTTGGTTTAGACTTTAGATAATATTGACATAATAAAATCTCCAGATTTTTCCCCCTTTGGGACAAAGATAAATAGTATGTTAGGGATGTTGAGGAAGCCATGACAATAAAGAAAATTTGGGTAATTAGGCTGTATTTGTGAATAAAAGTCACCAGTTTGAAGACGCTGTGGAATTTAAAAAAAAAAAGTTGTTGTAAAAATTCTAAAATACTAGTCTTTCACAAAAACAAGAGAAAGAAATGTTTAATAGGATTATATATCAAAATTCTCTTTTAAAAACTTAAAACATTTCATTGGGATATACTATTAAAAGTCTGTGTAACATCCCAGCACAAACAGGCTAAAGACTTAGTTAAAAGAGTTTTAGTTTAGAACTTGAATGCCCCAAATGGCCCATACGCTGAGAGGTTGGTGCTAGCTCAGGCACTCCTGGGTGGTGGCAGACCCTTCTGGAGCTCAGGCTGGCATAAGGGACTGAGATCATCAGGGCTGGCATAAGGGACTGAGATCATCAGGGATATGCCCATGAAGGGGACACCACGAACCTGGGCCCTTCTTATCTCTTTCCTTCCCAGCTGCCACAAGGTGTGTATGGGCCTCCTCTGCCACATGCTCCTACCCTGATACTAGTGGTAATTGAAATAAACTGAATGTTTAAAGTTTTTAAAATGTATTATAGCAAAAACCATGTTGCTATTAATCCCCCTCAAAATACTTGCACTTTAAGTGATTACAATAAATGAGATATTTTCAAAGTCATTATCAGAAAATCTAGTATTTAAAAACTCTGATTTTATTTTTCTTAAACTTAAGTCTTTTAGGATAGGATAAATACGGCTTAAATAGTATCTACAAAATAACTAAGACAATTGGAAGTTAACTGAGTAGTATTTACTGGGTACCTAGAATAATTGAAGAACTTACGAATGCACAAAGATCTCTAGGCTATTCTAGAATCCTTTTAACAACAGAGTAACTCAAAGAATTTACTATTATTATTCAATTAAGGTCTTGGGGATTGAACCCATTGTCTTTGCACTCAGCTAGATCCCTCAACGTTTTAAAATTTGTTATTCTGAGATAGGGTCTCAACAAATCACTAAGTAGTCCAGGCTGTATGCAAACTTTAGACCCTCAGCATCTTAAAGAGTGCTAGAATTAAAAGCATGTGCCATCACATCTGACTAAAAAGATGTACTTTTAAGCATATATTGATGTCTTTCTTCTGTGAACTAAATAACCAATTAATAACTCGCTTTGACTTTTAATCATATTATTTCTGTTGCTGAAACACGAACACATACTATCTCTTGCTTGGAAAGGAAAGCAGGACATCTAGTGGAAGTGGAGCAGTATCCTACTTTTCTACATAAAGGTCAAATTTAGCACTAAACACAAATTCTTCTCTTTTGAATCTACTAATAAAAAAAAGACACTTAAAACTTTCCAAAAAACTATCAGTCCTTTGAGAAACTGGAGGAGGAAATTTTATTAATGTCTGTGTAATAATTTATTATTTTCACATCATTTTTACTCCTGAAAAGAGGGATGGATAGCAATCTTTGTTTTTCTAATAGGCTCTACAACAAAGTTTTTATGCAAAAAACACTTTATAATTAAATGCTTTACAAATGAAATTATTTCTTTACACACATACAAAACCAAAAAAGTATCAACCATTAGGAACAAAGAAACTTATAAATCAAATTTATTTATGCAGGCAAGCAAGTATAAATAAAGCAGGTATTATCACTTCTTGGCCTTTTGGCTAAGATCAAGTGTATCTGTTCTTATCAGTTTAATAAATCAGGTACTTCAGATAATCAAGAGAAGTTTCTATTTGATACAAGTATTTAAAAATGTTTTAAAAATCATCAGTACTGAACTGGAATCATCTGAATGAGTAACCTTTCTCTTGTGGTCTTGTCGTTAAGTAAAATTTCAGGATAATCAAATACTTTTAATCATATGATTTGTTCTCCTGTACTGCTAATGATAAACATTGTGACACTTTTATACTCCGGCTCTATCATAAGAAAGTAGGAAAGGGGTTGAGAACTCTCAGGTGAAAGGATCATCAGTACATCCGTAACTACAGTCAGGCAAACCCCGGTTACAGCTCTGCTACTTATAAGCAACATTGATCACAGTTACTTCACTTCTGAATGACTTCCTCATATAGAAAATAGGAATGTATCTACTGTGTATAGCTGGTGAACAGGTTAAATCACAATAATTTAGGTAAGTACAGAGCACAGAAAATACTTTTAAAGATCATAGCTATAATCATAACTTTACATCTATGCTTATCTATTAAGTAAATTCAAATTTTTTCAGAGATTCAAAACAAAGCACTCATGCCCTTTTTGTAAGTACCGTGGTTTCTGAAGTGGAAAGAGAACTTGGATCCTGATCTTGGTTGGACATCCTTGATAGAGCCCTCCAAAACTTGAATGAGTCATCTAAACCTGGGACAAGAACAAAGTTGTTAATCTGGACACTTTACTGGGCACTCAGCAATTAACAGAAAGCATACTCATTGCAGGAAACTAACGAAGACTTGTTAATAAACGAGTATCACTGAGAGTTGCTAAAGCAGACCGCTGAGCCCTAGTCCCAGAAATCATAATACCCTAAGTCAGGATGGGGTAGTGAATGCACATTTCTAACAATCTCACACAAGATGCCAAGGAAGTTAGTTTGCAGGTCATACTTTCAATAACAGTGATTCGGAGAACTCCAAACAATAGGTAACTATGAAATGAAGACATTATTTAGAATGTTCAAAACTTTATCAAATATCACTTTCCTCTCAAATTCTCTAAAAGTGAACAGAAAAGAGAATATATATTTACTCTTAGATATTTGAGGGTAAAGGAATTTCATGGCTGCAACTTACTCCTGAATGACACAGAAAAAGTATGTATAATACACACACATATACATATACACATATATGCTATCTACATGCATGCAAACAAATTTTATTTGTATTTACATACATGAGGTAAAAAGTAAATACAATAAAATGTTAACATTTGAGACATTTTTGTACTTTTTTCCCAATGAGCACTAAAGGCTTCTTTTTTTTCAATTTAAAAATTGTACCATATGTATAACTTATGTTAGTTACACACAAACAAAAATATTCTTTCTGTACATTGGTTTCCTCCCCCAAATTTGTGTTTTCATTCAAAAATATCACAGACAGAATGATATATTTGCCAGTTTTTTGTACTATTCTTGAATTTTTTTATTTAAGTTTGAAAGTATTCTCTAAGTGTGAATTAGGTAAAAAATGAGCATAAAAATATAAACTACTTTTATTATGAAGTACATTGCTTGTGTGTATAAACATCAGTGACACTGATTAACATTAATAACTAGCAATTAGTGATACTAGTTAAATTAGTAAATCTAACAGCATCTGTCAATAAAAAAGTAAAAAGCTTTCCTCAATATATTTTGATGAATTAATAATATGAAAATAAATAGCTTTTCAATACTGTTACGAAAAAGAAATAGAAAACTTAGTAGTAAAAAGTGTCTTTCACAAGAGTGAAAAAAAATTATAGATTGTCAAGAATGGAAGGTTCCAAAAAGGTTGAAGATATTCATAGGGGAAAAATAGAAAACTTTACCAAATGGCATAAAATAACTTGTGAAACAACAGTAAGATGTCAAAATGCTTCCATGAAGAATTTATGACATAAAAAATGCTTAGGCAATGCTTAGTGAAAGAAGGAGATACAAAATACACATAAGAAATTAGCACAACTATACAAAACAAAGCCTATAAAGAGGAAGAACGCTTGAAGAACATATTCTCACATAAAAGAGGAATTCTCAGGGGAGCAGGACTGGTGATGAGTATTTTTCCTATGTACTTTTTATTATTTTCCAAAAATCTTTTAATAAACACAGATTTTTTTTACATATTTTAAAAAGTGAATTTTACTTAAAAAAAAAAAAAGACATTGTACTTACCATTTAAATCATTAGCTTCTGAAGTTCCATCAAAAGCAGAAATCCTCAAATCAAACATATACCGTCCCAGGTAACAATGTTTCACCATCTGATTCAAATGTTCATAAAAATGGCAGTGGTATAAAAGCGCCTGGAGGGCAGGTTTTCCTGTGAGTGACAAGCCAGAATCCTCATCATGGACACAGGGGCCCTAGGAAAAGATGGAGAGAAGAAAAAGGCACTGCTTTATACCTCAATTTCTTCAAAAAGATCAACTGTCCTCTCCATATAAAACAAGTTCCATGCCCCATTATATTCTGACCAGCTACTCTAGTGTAACTCTAGTGTAGAGCAAAGCACTTCATAATGTCTAGGTCTTTGCTGCTTGAACCTAACTTTTGCCGGCAGAAGTCTGAACTAATTCTTGAGGGGCTATTTCATTTAAACTGTTTCTACAAAATGATTTAGCCAATTAATTATACACTGTAGTCATAAACACAATGAAAGCAGTATTTTTCCACCTACATGCAATACTAAAATAATACTAAAAATCTGAAATAATGTGGCTCAAGTAATTATGTTCAAAAATATTTTTTATATCTATCAACGTCCACTGCAAAATCTACCATGTTATTTCCCGAAGAATTAAGGAAAAGGAAAAGGAAAAAAGAAGTACATAAACACATATACGTCTACCACCAAGAGACTGAGAAGAATCTACTACTACACAATTGTATGTCTTCGCAATTGTTCCAATAGTTTTTGCATTGCCACTCAATAATTTTCCTGAAATATACAATGGTAAAAACCAGTCACCTAGAATCGGTTTCAAGTTCACAATAAATCCTTTCACTAGGTATTAATATATGATAATCAGTAAAGTTATGATTTTAAATATATCATAAGAGAAAATGAAAAACAGAAATCTAAGTGACAATAGGAAAGAAAGATATGGTCAAATCACATTCAAACATAAAATTTCTTCATGTATGTTTTCTATTAACTTTTTTTTTCACATCACCATGGGAGATGGATGCTAAAACTTACTCTTCAGACAAAGTCATTTACAAGTTAAAAATATAACTACATTAACAATATTAATAATACCCACTAACAATAGTAACAATTTCCACTAACATTTCTCTTTAAGAATATTATCATAACAAACCTGTTACCTCAATACTAAATTCCTTTTATGACTAGGACATTACTCCTGATATGTCTAAGAAATCTATCCAGCACTGTGAGACATCAGTAAGACTAATACAGAGCTGGCATGTGATGGTCACTGATAAAGGTCTGCAAAATGCAGGTAAAGCAGAAAAGAATACAAAGAGAACAAGGTCATGAGGGTCCTCCTTATGAACCAATAGCATGTGTTCCTTTCACACCTTACCTTATCTAGGGGGAAGTACCACATCCAAAAGCAAGTCAATCTTAACCTTCATAGTTGCAAAATGTTTTATCTTTTAAGCAAGTTAGAATATTCTTAAATGTAAAAAACATGTCAAACACAAAAAGACAGGCAGTAGTGTCTCAACACTGCAAATTAAAGCATTATAATAATTCAGTAAAAAAAATTAGTAAGCAAAGCGAGAACTATACTTTATTCAAGTGGGGCTGTGGATGTAGAGCAGTGATAAAGTACTTTCTTAAGAAAAAACATAAACATAAAAAGTTTAGCTAAGTTTACTAGCTTAACTCCAACTACCTAACAAAACTCAGTAAATCAACAAAACATAAAGTGGTACAAAAACTATTTTTTTCTAAATAAATTTCAAATGATAACCAAAACAATCTTAAAGTTTCTGTTTTACATATTATACAAAATCATTCAAATTTTATTATTTTGGAAAATTGTGTCTACGTAATTATTCCTTCCATCACTCATAGTATTATATTCACAAAGATTTAGTAGAAATAGGTAAAGGTATATAAACTGTATAAATCTTGAATAGAAAAAAAAGAGTATTTACAGTTCCCGACTTCTTAGATCTTCTGAGTCTTTACCCTGCTGAAGGCCTACTGAGATTGACGGTTCTAATTAATTCATAGGAAAAGAGTGGTTAGAAACCCACCATCTTCTAAAATCCAACTTTTCTTTTGTGATAAGTATTTTCAAAGTAAGTGAAAAATGCATTTAGTACATTAGAATTCTTGTTATTCTATAAATTGTAAAATTATCACAATTTTAATAGACTAAATCATTTACTGTTCAATTAATGTATTTCTAAGATTCCCCTTTTCATTTTCTTCCTAATATGGAATGAAAAATAAATTTAGAAAATGAAGACAAAGCTGGGCATGGTGATGAGTGTCTGTAATCCCAGTATTTGGGAGGCTGAGACAGGAGGATCACTATGAGTTTGAGGCCAGCCTGGTTTACATAGTGAATTCAGCTTGAACTACAGTAAGACCCTGTCTCAAAAAACTAAAAAAAAATACAAAATTGTTCTCTTTGTCTAAGCCCATACAATGAACACAGTAGCTCACAACTAAATTACTTAAGTTAGCATTGGTTCAGTTTGTACAAATGTGCCTATGTTGGCTATTATTATTTTTAAAATTATTTTAACATTATGGAAAAAAATTTTTAAATATGACCAAGCATAAGAAAATTCCTACATTCTAATTTCAGAGGTCTTTGCTGCTCTATGCAATTGCATCAGTAATGAAATAAGCTCTTCCTTGATATACATGGGATATTGGTTCTTAAAACTACAATAGATAAAAAAAACTCCACAGATGCTCAATTCTTTTATATAAAATAGCATGATCTTTGCATATAATCAGTGTGCATCTTCCTCTTATATGAGAAACCCAAAAACATAAAAAAGAGAAAAATAAAAGGTAGATAATAGGGAGGAGAAAGCTACATCTTTCTCAAATGTGTAAGAGATCAAGAGATGGAGGGAAGAGAAGGAAATGGGATGAGAAAAGGAATTAAGATGTGTTATATATATACATGAACAACTCCATACAAGGAAAGTAGATATTATGTACTACAAACATGTACTAAGAAGGAAGGAAGGAAGGAAGGAAGGAAAGAAGGAAGGAAAGAAGGAGGGAGAGAAAGAGTCTGCACCAGTTCAACACAAATACAATTTTTCTTTTTCTTGAATACTTTCGGTCCCTGGTTAGGTGAATATCTGGATGCTATACCCATGAATACAGAGTGCCAACTATACATTTGTTGAAAATTTATCACTAATTAATGTCAACTACCTACTAGGTTGATAATTCTTTAAAATCGCCCACCTGCCAAGTAAAGTCCTTCATAAAGTCTGTAGGCATCGGAATTACAAGGAGATTCTGAAGAATAAATGCAGCCTGAAAATTAGAAAAAGAAAGTGTCAATACTGCCATCTTGCTGTCATTTCTGAAATAACCAATAAACTGCAACAATTTAACAGTACCAAGGTATCTTCTGGTCAACGGCACATGCTAAGACCCTTATGAGAATTACTAACCTGCATTTCCTACTCAGGGATGACTTTGTTAGGTGATGGCCAAACAGTGTATGAAATCAGTTCATCATGAAATATTACTTTTCTCTCAAAATTTAGCTTTATGCCAAAAAAATGATGTGTATAATACAAACTGTTCCGGTAACATTTAAAAAATCTACATTCATGGTGTCCCCTTCCAGACTTACACATATCCACAACTCACCTACACACACACACAAACCTACCTCTCCCCACTGTCGTTCTTCTCTCATTTAAATTCCTCTCAAAAAAACTTGGTACAGAAATATAAACCACAAATGTACAACTTAGCCTATGAGGGCGTGAAGTTATTCTAATTAAATAATACTACTGTAAACACTATTACCTCCTTAATGGGAGATTATTATGTAACAATACAGGAAGAGTAAAAGGAATATCGGGAATTCTAAGAGAGTGAATTTTCTAACCATCTTCACTGCAAGTCAATTTTTTAAAAATCTTTAAAGTTAATAAATCAAGAAAATCCCTAACCATAAGCATTACCATTTATAAGCATGAAAGAACTAACAAGAAAACACATGTTTTGAGTTGGAGAATTAGAAATTAGATAATGGTAGACCCAGGAGCTATTGTTTTCTTCATAAGCCTCTAAGAACTATTTGATTATTGTTTTAAAAAAATAGGTATGAATCATCACTTTAATAGAAGAAGCAATACAAAGAAACCACAAATTAAATTAGGGTTTAATTTTCCTCTCATGCTGTAAGACATATACTTCAAAAAGGTATCATTTTAACAACCCTTTATTTGTATTAAAGCTGTCTAAACGTTACAGACCTACACGTGCTGAAGGAAAAATAATTTTTTTCCATCAACTACTTTCCAGCATGTAATAAAACAGAAGAATTCAGATTAAAATTACACTGTATTTCACTTTGATCTTATCAGAATAAAGGACTCCTGATTTTTACTGTTAACTATTATCTTTCATATTCTCTACTGTCATTTTGTTTGAGTCTTTCACAAGCAAAATAGATAATGGTCCACAGTCAAACATGCTGAACGTAGGTTGAATACTGTTTGTAGACACTGTCATAGTGAGCTAGTGAGGAAAAAAAGGGAGAAAGTGCTAAAAAGGCATACCTCCCGGCGCACCATGCTGCATTCCGACTGGTCCAGGAGAATGTTCACGACCGTTCCCCAGAGCCCACCGGAAATGTTCTGACAACTGTTTGCCAAGGCCACACAGCCAGCTTCAAGCATGGTCAGTGCTGATCCCAACCCCAAGGAAGTGAATCTCACCTATTAAATTAAAAAAAAAGTTAGCATGATGACAGGCTGTTGGGCTTGGATTCTACAGGCAAATGTGCACTAGTCTATAAGGAAAGGGAAAAATGGCCCCAGAGGTGACAGCGTCACTTAGACTGAAGTGTCAACTCCTTGTGTCCGTAGTGAAATGCAACGCATGACTCACTCTTGGCCAGTACTTGGTCAGATTTTCAGTTGGACTATCCAGCAAAGTTATGAACTGAGCAGATTTTTTTGAACTTTGTTGTTCAAGTAGTAGTAAGTTTGAGGTCGGAGCTATTTGACAACTGAGGTATCATTGTATAAACTACAATAATCCCATCATATGAACATGCATAAGTATATAATAAGGTTTGCTTAATTTTTTTTTTCATCTAAACACAATGAACTTGGTTTTCCTTTACACTGACCTCTGGGTCTCGATCAACCCATAAGGGAATCAGCCAAGCCAATCCTTGTTGAGCAGGACCATGTTCTTCACTATGACTACCTAAAGGCAAAAACCAAAGAGACATCCACTCCTAAAATGAAAAAAAAAAAGGAGAACAGAAACATTTTAGGTTAAAATAAGTTTTTAAGGATCAAAACAAAGTCATATGTATTTAAGGGTTAGTTTTAATTCATTATCTGGCCAAAACAATGCAAATAAAAATCTAGCTTCTCCTAAATAAGTTCAACATAACAATCTTCCCATAAAAGCTATTTTTCTCACAATTTAGTTAAAATGTAACTTTGAAGTGAAAGCAGAACTCCAACTTTCAATCAAAACAAATTTTTAAAAAGTTCAGATTTCTATTAATACAGAATTTTCAAGAAACATTTTAGTCAAAAAACACTTTTGTCTCTTAAAGAGAAAAATCAAAAGGAATATTTTTATGTAGTGAGCTTACAGGCTTGCAGTGTGTTAGGCTTTTCAATCAAGTGTTCAGGAGACAGTTTTTAATGTTCTCACCGAGCTCTGAGCATGGGCCATCATCTCATGGGATAAGTGAAGCAAGCAAAGAATTGTGCTCTTTGTAACACCTTTTCCCATGAACGACATAGCATTTCCTCCACGTTCCACGTAAAAAGAAGTAATAACCTGGAAAATAAATGTAAAAAATTTCATAGTGTCTTTATTGTAATGATATGTAAAGATAAACACGTTAACTTTCTATCTTGCCAAATTCAAATTTTAACTGCATAAGATATAACGTTCTCAGTTTACATATTTTAAAGTGACAGCAATGGTGAGTTTTTGTTCTGTGTATTTACCAGTTAAAAAATATTCTTGGTTAGGGGTCCCATTCAACCCAGCTATTCCCTTTCTGGGTATTTTTCCAGAAGAACTAAAACATCATACCACAATGATGTATGTGTACCCATGTTTACAGCAGCACCATTTGTAATAGCTAAATCATGGAAACAACCCCAATGCCCATCAACTGAGGAATGGATAAAAAAGCTGTGGTACTTTTATATAATGGCATATTACTCAGCTATAAAGATAAACTTGAGGTTTTTATAGGTAAATGGATGCCACTAGAGATGACACTCATAAATGAAATAAATAAGACTCACATATGTAAACACTATATTGTCTCCCTAGTATAACACTCTGAAAGAGTAAATGAAATCTAAAAGGTATATTAGATAGTATGAAAGGGAAAGAAACTGTTCAAAAGGAAAGAATGACTAGCATGGGGGAAAGGAGAAAACAAAGTGGAAAAAAATATACATATATACACATGCTCCCAAGATGGTCAAATAGTTGATATTTAACAGTCTGATTATTCTTACATGTCTATATTTCTTTATCTGAGTAACCAATATTAAGATAACAATATGTAATACAACAACCATTGTTGTCTGAAATTCTGCATGTTTTTATTGTTTTTATGTTGTTTTAGTTATGTCCGTATGTTTGTTAATATGTTTTGGTTCTTCTATCTTTAAAAATATTTTTAAAAAATTCTTGGTTTTAACATTTTCCCCTTGGGATTCATACGAAAGAAGCGTAACATACTCCTAGGTTTGTTTTTTGGGAGGAGAGGATAGATTCAGAACAACCTTATTTAACATTTTTTAAATGTTACAGCACTTTTATAAGCCAAAGAGTTTATAAATATCCTGTTGGAAAGTATACACAGAAATTGCTAGCTCTCTAAAACTCACTGACTATGTGAGTTATGCTAAATTTTCTTATTTAAACATAAATAGACATTTTTCTCTCCTCTGAGTGATCTTAGATCTTTCCACTGAAAGCTTAAATATATGCTTATTATTTAACTTACTAATTTTCAACTTTTGTCTCCCACATATCTGAAAGATTTGGCATATTTCAACTAGCAACAACAAAAAAAATGTTGATCATCTGAAGGGACATTCATTTTAACTAAGAATCCACATCAGAAAAGCACGTCCATCTGACTTCCCTTGGAATGAGCGGCAAATTCATCTGGACCTTTTCTATATAATTATGTATCATTCCTCCAGAGGAGTTTGGTAAAAATTTGTAAACCAATTGAGGAAAAATATTTTGTTAGCACACAAAGAAAATCAATGAGACAAAAGGTCACCTGTAATTAATAAAAGATTAAGAAAAAGAATGGTAACTATTTTTAGTCCCAATACTTTGTTGTAAGTCAAAACAGTAAAAATTTCTTGCTGTCTGCACCAATACAATTAGTTCACCCAAAATCTCAATGCTTTTATTCACCACGAAACACTTCTATGTTAGCATTTATCTTCATCTACTTTTGGTTGATTTTTATTTTGCTGGTACAATTCATGAAGCAAAGTAGACATATAAAAAGATTTTTAAATGTAATTTATTTATAATATTTGAAATATAGCTGTGATTCAGACTACTTTCATACCTGTTATTTATTAAAAAGTACATCTGATAGTTTCTAAATATAAACAATACAAAATTTAGCTTCTCTTTCAGTTACCTCTGTATATCTGATCTAAAAATAGATGTCATTTTTCAGAAACTGTGTTCCACAAAACGTTTACAAATGGAATATTTATAAATCACATTTCAACCAATTCTTCCATAAATTAGGTAACTGCAGATTATACTTTAAATGCATTAGAAGATCTGACTTTAAAGACAACTTAGTTAGGTCTTTAATATATCAGTTCAAAAACAGACGCATTTCTGATTACAGACACCCTGCAGCATGACATAATTAATTGGTGGCCTAACAGTATACCCTTTTTCAACATTTATAATTACTTAAGAAAATATAAATATATTGAAAAAGCTACTGTGAGAGTCATAGTAAATTTTATACTACAGCTAATTGTATTTAGAACTTGTAGTCTTTTTAAAAAAACAACGCATTTTTGGAAAAAATCTAGATTACACTCTGAAATACAATTTATTATTGAAAATACAAATACAAATTCAGTACTGAAAGCACAAAAAAAATACAATACATGAAAAAATGTTCACCATCATTGGTCATTCAAGAGATGTAAATTAATAAAATACACACCATTTAAAGTCATTTATGTTACATTACCAATGTTATACAAATTGTACTATAATTTTAAAAGTATATGTAAGATATACATTAATTAAACGATTCCCTATTCACCACAATGTAAAAATCATTGCTAAACAGATAAGGCAGGGGCTGGGGATGTAGCTCAGCTGCACAGCGCCTGCCTGACAAGCGCAAGGTCGTGAGTTCAATTCCTGGTCCCGGAAAAAAACAAAACAAACAAACAAAAAAAAAAAAGATAAGGCAGCCATGGAATAATGCAAAAGTTTTAAAGATGATTCTCATAAGCTCTCAAGCTTACGTGTCCAACAGAGCACACATAAAATAAAAACATAGCACATTTTCAAAAAGACAAGGTATCATGTAAAAGTAACATATACAAGTTTTCACATATACCTAAATAAAGAAGAAACCTGTTAAATGATATTATTATCTAAGTGAAGAAAAGAAAAGGCTTATTAAAGGAAAATGAATAAATTAGCTCTTATACAAACTCTGTAGCAATTAATACCTATAAAAGAGATGAAATTATGTGAAAGAAGGTCTTTTTGAAAAGCTTTTGAAAAAGCTGCTACACACAACCAAAAATTCAGACACAGGAAAAAATAAAAATGGAGATAAAAGTCAAAATGTAAAATTATCAGTCTCTTATACCTAGGAAAAGGAAGCTTAGATTGCCTTGGAAGGAGGATCTGGTGGGTACAGATCATAAAATGGCAAGCAGGAACTTGCTGCACAAAAAGGAATGGAAGGCTATAGATACCATTTGGCCAACAGACTTTAGGTCTAGGATGCCCATCACTGTCTATCAATTTGTCCATTTTCCAAAATACAACTGTACGTTGTCTCCTTGTCAGTCTTTCTTAAAGTCCAAATCCAATTAATGATTCTAATCTCTGGTTATCAGATATTGCTGCTTGAAGGCTATCAGAGCTTTCAAGACAAAATTAGACTGGCAGATTTGACTTCTAAGGAACAATAAAGCATTCTAGATTTAGACAGTTTATGCAACAGCAAAGCAAGAGTAGCCAAAGGTGCTGCTCCTAGTGCCCCTGCACAAAGTGAAACTGGCACAAACAGGCCGGACGACTGCAAGGCAGACGGTAGGGCCCTCTGGTGCTGAGAAGCCCAGACTGTGTTATAATGTAGTAGTTTTACAACTGCAGCTGTACCCGAAGTGAGGGAGGTAGACACAGTACTCACTTCACCTGACCTAGGAGGCAATAAGAAACAGGATCATGCCAGACTTGTAATAGTCAAGTGAATGAGAATCAAACTACTCCTGGCAATTCTGCAAAAGCCTCCCATGTTCTCATGTTCCAAAAGGATTGCAGGAAATTCTGCCAACACTTAGATCAGCTGCAGTTAAACCTTGTCTATTTGGCCGAAGTGCATGCATGCAAGACTGCCAGTGCACTGTGGCAAAGCTCTTACAGAACTACACACAGTCACGCAATTGTTACATTTATTACATCACACTGAAAATACTTTGAATTAAATGATGGTGAAAACATGGCATATCAGAATGTGTGCAATATAATTAAGGCCACATTTATAAGGTAATTAAGGCTAACAGTACATTTTTGGGCAAAAAAATCCAATTAAGATCACACCCTAAAATTTTACAAGAGCCACAAATTAAACAAAAAGAGAAATAATAAATTTATATAGAAATTAATAAGGGAAAAACATCTAAAAGAAGATCAGTAAAACCTAAAGTTCATTCTTTGATTACAACTAATAAAACATGTATCACCAGTGAAATCCTGTGTGAAAATGAAGAAAAGGATAATTAATGTCTGGAATGACAGGAACTACAGATTCAGCAGACACTGATGAATAATTTTATGATAATGACTTTGAAAATTTAGATAAACTCTTCTCACATTCCAGAAGAACATAACTAAAAAAAACAAACAAAAATTCTAAATAATTCTAAACACAATTAAAACACAAATTCACAATTTATGATCTTTAAAAGTAACAACTCCGGGCCTGAACTCCTGCATTGCTTTGTCACTGAATTTAACCAGTAGGTAAAAATTAAAGGCCTTTGTTTTGAAATTAAAAACATGGTCAATACACAAATATTGATTGTTTTTATATATTAAGATTTAGAAAATAAAAATTTAAAACAGGTATAATATACTCATTTTCACCAAAAGAAGACTGTTTATAACAGCAGTACCCAAAATTGCCCTAAACTGAAAGAAAAAGAAAAATTAAATGTACTTCAACTCTGCAGTATAATAAATGCCATCCAAATGAAATTAAACTAACTCCACCTGCAGGCAACAAAATGAATAAATGCTATAAGCATGCTGAAAGAAACCAGCCCAGACATATGATTCCATTTACTCAAATTTTAAAATCAAATTATTTTATACACTGTATAGACACAGACTTGAAGTCATCAAACTATCAAGAAATGCAAAAAAGTAGCATGCCAAAAATAATCAAAATACCATATGAGAAAGAAGGAGAGAATGAGAGGGATATGAGGACTGCTGCTAGGATGCTGGCTATGCTCTATTTCTGGGTAGGGGGTAATTACATGGGTGCTCACTACAGGATAACTCACTGAGCTTCATATTTATGTTCTGTGTATTTGTTCTGTGTATTTTCTGAATATGTGCTGTATTCACAATTAAAAATATTAATCAAATAAATGAATAAACAAATTACCGTGATGAAGACACTTAAATATAAGCCTTAATTTTTCCTGAAATGAGAGTACAAGTGTGATTTTATATATTTTTAAGACATTTAACCATTACGATGGGCTATGTGAACACTGTATAATAACTGTAAATATAGTAAGATAAATGCATTCATCTGTGGTATATAACAAATGCAATTAGTAAGTAGTAAACAGCTGCTATTCGAGGAGTTGTTGCTTTCACTTACCTCCAGGAGACCTGACAAATACTTCACACAGATTTCAAGTGGCTTTGTTGAAGGCGAATGTGAACTCCACCCTGGAAATGCGGTGAGGTGAGCCATCCCTCTTAAAGTCCGCTCCAGCGAAGGCAGGCCGTAAAAATGAGGAGCATCTGTGACCCTCAGACACTGGAGCAGTTTCAGACCCAACTGTGTTTGGAAGACATAAAGAAGTTCCAAGCATTTCCTATGCATGTAAAAGGAAGAAAATCAATCAAAGAGCAAGCATAATGAACTTAATGAACCATCTTACTGGCTATAGAAAGCTATTTATGACATATTAGAAGTACGAGCCAGACAAAAATAGCAGAAAATATTCTCTGAAAACAAGACTTTTCATGGGAAGCCTAATAAAAGTAACAACTAAGGTATGTGATGTTCAATATAACCAACAATTATATGGAAAAACATATAAACAGTTATGGGTGTTGCCACTCAATAGTGAAATAAAAAGGTGAAACAAAAAACTGAACAAACTTTGAATTTAGTTGGTATTCAGTAAAACTATATGTAAGTCTTTCGGTGTCAGGAAAAACTTTAATTTTTAATTGACTATACTGCCTTTGACACGGAAAACTAAAAGGAAAAGTTTTAACGAGTGTAACATATAATTAAGCAAAACAGTCAGAAATAGATCAAGAGAATATTTTCTACTGGAAAACAGAATTCCTAAAATTAAACAGCTCATCATAGGTTCAAAGTAATTCACAGAAGATATTTATATAACAAAGTACTGAATAAAATCTGAAATTTCTTAAATTTTTTAGACAATTAGACTCAAAAATTGATAACTATTCACTACATAATTACTTATTCATCAGGTATGGTATGAAAATTTTAGGATCATAATTTTATATACCCATCATCCAACTATGTTAAAAACAATTTTAGAAATACAAAAGACTTAGATCCTGAATGTTACATATAGTTACTTACAACTATATGTAAGTCTTTCGGTGTCAGGAAAAGTTGACCTCCTTATAGTTTAATAAAAAAATGAATCTAATAATAGTATTAAAAATGTTTTTGCTATTCTTCTAGCATTCAACATACATAAGCAAATCATTTTCACCATGCCTTTCACCTTAATCACTTCAGAAAGAAAGCTCAGCCAAAGGACTGGTGGCACTCCAGTTGTCTAACCTGTGTTAGACTCACATAAACCCTAGCATACCTTTTACCAGTTCCTTCTCATGTCCCTGCAAACCTTCCTCAAACTCCATAGAGAAAATGAAATTATCAGAAATCAACATATCCCACATGCTTCTCCCATATTTACTTACTGACCTATTTTACTTATACACTGGTACCTTGGTTTAAAAATGCTTTTGTGTGCAAGCAATTTGGTTCACAAACAAAAGTGTCTGGCACAATTTTGTTTTTGTTTTCAAACTCTGCATCAGGTGACAAACACGACTGCAGCCATCTTACCCACACAAACATTAACGTGGCCATATTTTCTAAACTCATAAAACAAATTAAGTTCATGAACCAAGATACTACTGTAATTATCTCTTTATCCCACATTATTTTCAATACACTGTTCATTCAATTCTGTTTTTCTCTGCATAGTACATGTCTTTGCCAGCCCTCATGTTCTCCTTATGTAGCTCATTTCAAATGTCATATGTATTTGAGAGTCTTGACCTCTAGCAGAGCTTTTGGGATCTATCTACAAGATGAGGGAAAATGTCTTTTTGCTTTCCAGAAAGTATCATTTTTAGCAAATCTGATTTTAAAAAAGTGAATGGATACATAAAATGTGATACATTTACACAATTGGAGTACTACTCAGCCAAAAAGAAAGATAAATTTGAGTGACTTATGGGAAAATGGATGTACCTTAAGACCCTAATGTTAAGTGAAATAAATGAGACACACAAATATAAATACCATGCTTTCTCTTATATGAGAAAACTAAAGTATAAATAATTTAAAGGACAAAATAAGGGATGGATAACAGGAACCAAAGAGACACATCTTTTGCAAACAGAAAAGGGATCTAGGAAGGGAGGGAAAGGGAAGGAGAAGTAAAAAGAATTTTAATATGTATTATATACATATAACCACTCTCTGTGATGAATGTAACTGCTTTGCACTACAAGCATGTACTAACGAAAAATTATTTTTAAAAAAGGCCTGGCTTTATCTCATCTAATTTGAAACTCCTCCTGGTTAAATCCACTATTGAGGAACATGTGTTGAAAACATAAACAAGTAAGAGCTTTAGCTATTATCTGAAGCAACTGGTAAGAGAGAAAAAGGAGACCAGCCTAAAAGCACAGGAAAAAAGCCTGAGACGGGAGATGTTTTGGCAAATAATTTGACCACATGGAATGAAATTGACAGAAAAAAAAGCAAAATTCACAAACGCCCACAATTTAAGAAACTCTTATATAACCAATAGGTCACGGAAGAAATCACTAAGGAAACAGCTTGAGAAAAATAAAAATGAAAGTATAATATACCAAAACCTAGGGGATGCAATGAAAGCAGTGACTAAAGGATATTTATATCTATAAACAACTACATCAAAAAATGTCTAAAATCAATGTCCTAACTTTACATCTTAAACAATAAAAAAACTAACTCACAAAATAACAGAAGGAAATAACAAAACTTAGAACAGATATTAATGAAATGTAGAAAATAGAAAAGTAACCAAAAAGCTGAATCTTTGAAGTCATTAGTAAAACTGATAAATCTGTAGCTACACTGACAAAGAAAAAAAAATTATTCAAATTTACTAAAATCTTAAATGAAAGTAAGGAAATCACTATTGACCTTAGAGAATTAAAAAGGACTATAAAGGTATATACCATAAACAATTTACATACCAACAAGTTAGATACCAACAAGTTACTAAAAATATGCAAACTATTAAAAAAGAAAATCTGAATGGGCCTATGGCATATAAATAGATTTAGACAATAATCAAAACTTTCCAAATAATGAAAGGTCCAGAATCAGATAGCTTCACTGATAAATTCTAGAAAACAGCAAGATCCTGTTTCAAAAACAAGAAACTTTCTAACCAACCCTTATTTCATAATAGATCATAAGTTTCTTCACTTTAAGAGTATTCCTGTTTCACACTGTCAAGGGAGAAAGACTGCAAAGAGAGACCAAGAAAAATGTTCCAATAGGCCTGCCGTACTGGGTTTCCAATCCAGTTCATTAACAATCTTGTCAATGCAAGTATTCATAAGAACCCACGAGGATTTCCTGATGGCTGAACATATGAAAGTTCCTGAAAAGACGCACAACCAGACATCTACATTTTGCCCTGTGGATCTCTTCATCTGTACCCTTTGTCATAGCCTTTAAATTAACCAGCTTATAAGGAAGTTGTTATGGTTGATACATTGTGTCAACTTGGGGAGTTCAGAGGTTTTGCTAAGTGACTCAGCAGGAAGCCAGGGTGCTTACTTTGTACACATCCTGAGCCTGTGGAAGAGGAGGGCATGGAGATTATGTGAGAGCTAGATGCCCCTTAGGTGGGGGTAGCCTGTTTTTACAAAGTAAGGCAGGGAAAGAAGCTGCTTGCCGCCATTCCTCCGTTTTGCTCTGGCTGTTTGCTGTTTGGCTGCCATTCCCCCCTTTGCTCTTGTTGCTTTGCTATCTTCTGCCTCAGAGCCAGCCAAGTATGGACTGAAACCTCCAAAAACTGTGAGCTAAATAAACCTTTCCTTCCTTCATTTTGGGCATTGGGTATTTTGTCTCAGCAACAAGAGAAAAGTAACCAAGACAGAAGTGTACACCTGAGATCTGTGAGGCAATCACAGCATATTAATCACCCAAGGAGAAGGTTGTGGCAACCCCACTTTATAGTCAGCTGGTCATAAGAACTGGTAAAACAACCTAGGCCTTCCAGCTGGCATGTCAAATTGGGGCGACTGGGGCACTTGTGGACCTGAGCCCTCTACATGTGGGATTGGACACTCTTTCCAGAAAGAGAACGTCAGAATTAATGTGAATCAGACAACACACAGCTGTCATACACTGTTACAGAGCTGTCCGCTTGCTAGCAGGGAGAAATGCATATATCTGGTGTCAAATGTCTCCTGTGTGGACTGGGTGTGAGAGTAAAACAAAAGCAGACACTTCATTTTCCTTCCCAACACTGTGTGTGTGTGTGTGTGTGTGTGTGTGTGTGTATTTAAAAGAGATTGAACAGGTACATTCAGCCTATACCAGAGATTCAAATGAAGCAAAGACTCATTGTAACTGATTAGTACTTACACATTGTTGTCTTAATTTTAAAGAAATGAGAAGTAAAACATTGAAAACTCAGAAAAAGACTAGGTTCCGTATAATTATTCCAAAACCTTTAGTGATACAAAAGGTACCTGTCAGTAACTGCCTTGAAACTGAGCAGCAGGGTATTGAAAAGAGCAATGAGCTCTTTCTGCAGTTGTTGTCTCACAGCAGTCCGGATGTCATCTGTTTCTTCTGGTGTTTGTGACTCTGTCAGAACCAGTAGGTCTAATAGTGGGTTTGGATTCTAAAAAATGAAATTTGTGAAAAATGTATTTAATCTCATTGAATTATGTGCTGTTTCCTATAAAGGTTTTTGATGCAAACGGTTCTACATTAACTAAGTTAATTATTTAACCAGTAGGTCTGGTCTATAATTGTATTAATAAAGACATTCGAAACTGAACAGGTGCTTAATATGTTACTTCAACAAAAAGAAAGCAAAGCTATTATACAAAACTGAGGAAAACAGAATCACAACAAGAAAAGTAGAGTCATACATAATCATCCCTTACAGAGATCCACACTGGTATACATTATCCTTCGCATTTCTGTAACTGGAAGTATAAAGAGAATTATAATTATACAAACAAACTTGATATTAAATTCTACACCTGGCACCCTTAAAGCAGAGGTCATGTTCTCTACAGTGCAGGGCTGGGTGTGTAGGAGGCTCACAATAACCATTTTAAAGTGAATCTAAGAATTCTGAATAAAATGGAACAGACATCTCCTTCATATCATGATGAGAATGAGAAGAGTTAAGAATTAGAAGCATAAACTATATTCCAAAGAGAGAAAGACCTCTAAGAATCAAGAAAGAGTGACAGGAAAGCTAAGAAGCATGAAAACACAGGAAGGCAACAGAGAGAAAAGACAAAGCAGTCTGCAACGCCAGCCCATGCCTGTGGGGTGGGATGGAAAACCACAACTGCAAGCATACGCCTGAGCTTACTCCATATTATTACTGTACTTTTCTACTATTATTGGTAGTACAGCTCTTGTTTTTAATTAGTTTTTACTGTATTTCAGTACCTGGTTTGTATTTCTGTTGTCACTATCACCAAGGTTTGTTTTCTCCTAAGTAATATGGGGGATCAAGTCATCAGCCCCAGATAAAAGTGGAAGACATATCCATCCCAATAGAAGTAGAAATCTCAACATGAAAACACAAGAAATATCAAAAAACAAGGCAACATGACTGCTCCAAAGTTTCATAATTCTTCAATAACTTAATCCAAACATATCAAAATGGATGAAATGCTGGCCAAAGTATTCAAAAGGTTGACTTTTATCAAGGTCTTCAATAAGGACACAAATAAACAACTGAATAAATTGAGGAACAGAATAAATGATGTGACGAAGCAATTCAGCGAAGAGGGATTACGAAAAAGAACCAAAAAGAAATCTTGGAAATAAGAAGCTTTATAAGTCAAATCAAGAACTCAAGGATAAAAAAGGAAGAAGTGAAATTATCAGTATCTGAAGATGGGATAATAGTAGGGACCGTGCCACAGTGAGTCCCCAGTTTCCCGCAAGGTGTTACAGCGCATGGTGAAAAGAAGGAGCAAGACACACACAGCAATGCAGTGGGGATCTGGATGGCAAGTGTACACGGCAAAAAAAGGCCACAAGGCAGCCAGAAGCTCGTTATTTATTCATCATATTTACCTTGAGGAAAATGGTGAGGGGATTGTGGCAGGAGAGCTAGATAAGTGGCTAGGCAAGCAAGGTTTGTACAACAAGGAACAAAGCGTTCTTGTGAAAGGAACGGAACAGCCAGATTCAGATTGTGGTTAATGAGTAACCTGTTTTGTAGTCAGTTCTGGGAAGGAATTTTCTCAGGCCTCAAGGGAGACTTTATCTCATATCTTAGGCCCACAGTCTCACAGCCCACTTCTCTAGGCTCAGTTGTGGCCATGGGCAGGGGTCAATGCTAGCCCACGTGCCATCTGAGTGCTAGTATGAGGCTGTAGTCAGACTCCTTTATTAAACTGAAAATCAACTTAGGGAAATCACATACACTGCTCAAGGCTAAACAGAATCACAGCCTACACTGCTCACAGCTAAACAAAATCACAGCTGGGTTTGGGGGAAATAAACATGGCAGTTGTTCATAACATGATATGCTACACAGAAGAACTCAAAAACTCCAACAAAATACTTCTAGATATAATAAACAAATTCAGCAGCATAGCTGGATACAAAGGCAATACTCAAAACTCAACAGCCTTTCAGCACATGAATAAAAAACTTACTGAGAGAGTAATTAGGGAAGCAACACCTTCCAGGATAGAATACAAATAAATGAAATACCTAGGAATCAATCTAATGAAGAATATAAAAGACCTCTACACTGAAAACTACAGTACTCTGAAAAAGGAGATTTAAGAGGACACCAGAAAATGGAAACATAACCCTTGCTCTTGGGTAGGAAGAACCAACATAATAAAAGTGACCATACTATCAAAACTGTTATATAGATTTAATGTACTCCAAATCAAAATACCATTAGCATATCTTACAGAACTAGAGGAAACAATCCAAAAATTCATTTGAAAACAGAAGAGACCCAGAATAGTAAAAACAATTCTAGGCAACAAAGGCAAGTTTGGGGGCATCACAATCCCTGACTTGAAATTATTCCACAGAGCTACTGAGATAAAAATAGCATAGTACTGGCAAAAAACAGACCTGAGGATTAGTGGAACAGAATAGAAGACGCAGAAACAACTTCAAACACACTCAGTCATTTTATCTTTGATGAAGGGGCCAAACATGTTCACTGGAGGAAAGATAGCCTCTTTAATAGATGGTACTATAAAAACTGGCTTTCCACATGCTGAAGATTAAAGCTAGATCTATGTCTCTCACCATGTACTAAACTAAAATCAAAATACATCAAAGATCTAAATATTAAAACAGACACTAAATTCAGAAGAGAAAATAGGTAGAACTCTTGAAGACATAGGTATAGGGAAAGACTTCATGAAGAAAACCTTGATAGCACAGGAAATACTACAAAGAATCAACACCTGGGCTCTCATATTAATAAAAAGCTTTTGCACAGCAAAAGAAATCACCATTAGAGTAAAAAGAAAACCCACAGAGCAGGAAAAATCTTAATGAGTTGTTCTTCAGACAAAGGACTAATATCTGGAACACATAAAGATTGAAAAAAATCAGACCCCTCAAATTTAAAGACCCAATCCATAAACTGGTTTCTGAGATGAATAGACACTTCTCAGGAAAAGTACAAATGGCAAATAAATATATGAAAGAATGTTCAACATCACTGATCATGTGAGAGATGTAAATTAAAACAACACTGAGATTTCATCTCACCCCAGAAAGAATGGCTGTCATCAAGAAATTAACCACAAACAAATGCTGGCAAGGCAGTGGGGGAAAAGGAACCCTTCTCCACTGTTGGTAGGAGTGTAGGCTGGTGCAACAGCTGTGGAAATGGGTGTGGAGATTCCTCTACAAACTAGAGGTCATATTTGACCCAGCTATTCACTTTCTGGGTATCTTCCCAAAAGAATTAAAAGCATCATAACACAGAGATGTATGTGCACCCGCGTTTGTAGCAGCACAATTTGTAATAGTTAAATATTTGAAACAACCCAAATGCCCATCAACCGATGAATGGATAAAAAAGATATGTTTTTAAATAAAATGGAGTATTACTCACCCATGAAGAAGGATAAACTTGAGACATTTATAACTAAATTGATGGACCTTGAGATCATACCCATAGTGAAATAAATCAGATACACATGTGTAAACATGTAAGAAACTGATGTGAGCAGCTGCAAGTGTAAATAAGAACCAAAATGTATAATGCATATTGTGAAACAGGAAGAAATTATTCAAAAGGAAAGAGGAAAAGGGGTGGGAGGAAGGGAAAAGCAAAAAAAAAAGAGAAAAAAGGATAAAATGGAAAGAAAGCTTTGTAAATGAGAGGAAGAGGGGTTGAAGGGAAGGGAGAAAAATGGGGGAAAATAAAAGAGGAACTAAAAAATCAACTCAATGTGGACCGAAGACCTAAATATAACACCTGAAACTTTGAAAGTGCTAATTAACAGCAAACAAAAGTAGAATATTTGAAGTTGCTGGAAATAACAATGACTCCCTGCATAGGGCTTCACTAGCTCAGGAAATAGTAAGAACTGACAAACAGAACTGCATCACATTAAAAAGCTTCTGTACAACAAAGGAAACAATATAGTGAAGAGATTACCTACAGAATGGGAGAAAAATTTTTATCAGCTACTTTTCTGAAAGAGGTTTAATACCCAAAATACATAAAGAACTCAAAAAACAACCAAAGAACCAATAATCCAGTCAAAAATGGGCAAATGAATGGAACAGATACTTTTCAAAAGAAGAAACCCAAATGACCAATAATTATACAATGAAGTGTTCAATATCTGTAGCCATCAGGAAAATACAAATCAAAACTACACTGAGATTCCTATCTTACCCAGTTAGAATGCCTACTATCAAGAATACCGTGGGAAAAAAAAAGATGGTGCAGATGTGAGGGAAAAGGAACACTTGTACATTGTTGGTAGGAAAGTAAATGAGTACAGTCATCCACCATGTAAATCAGTACAGACGTTCCTCAAAAAACTAACAGTAGAACTACAATATGAACTACTAGTTATCCTCAAAGGAATTAAAGTCACCATACTACAGAGCTTTCTGTATGTCCATGTTCTCTGAAGCAAACCTCATAATAGCAGGACATGGAATCAGCCTAGGTGCCAATCTATGGAAGAAGGGATAAAAAATTATGTGGTATATATACACAATACAGCACTATTCAGCCATACAGAAGAAACAAATCTTTCATTTGCAGGAAAAGGAACAGAACTGGAGATCATCATGTTAAGTGAAATGCGCCAAACTCAGAGACAAGTGTTACATGCTACTCCTAATACATGCAATCTGCAAAAAACACAAAAAAGACATGAAAGGATAAGAGACACTATTAGACAAGAAGAAGAGAACAAAAAAAGAGAGAAAGATGGGTTTTCAGTAAGGTAATGGGGGAATGGATATGACCAAAACATGTTATATCCATATATGAAAATTGCCACAGTGAAACTCAGTATTTTGTAAAATTAACATGCAGTAATAAAAATAAGAGATAAAAAATAGATAAAATGAATATATAACAACTCTATAGAGTAGTAGGGTCTCTAAAAGAAAAACACTGACATTAAGTGAAAAAATTTACTA